TCTTATAATGATCAAGGAAAGAGAAGTATCTTGGCAATAGATTAGAATTGTGATTTAATTTTATCTATGGAAAAATATGAATTATATAATCCTACCCTTTGAAGTTTGAAGGTATCTTCACCGGAAACCTTCACCAGACAAAACTCACCCACCAGGGATCACCTAGGGATTTAACAGCTTGTTATATCATCTAATGCAATCGTGAAATCTACGACAGTGATTTTATTTTATTTGTTCTATTACTTAGGACTAGTAATATTTGGTTGGGGGTGTAATTAACCCTAAAAAATGCGTAAATGAATTAGAGTTTAAGATTAATTGTGTGTATAAATTAGGTTAAAATGATTAATTCATAAAGTATTAGGGTAAATGCGCAGTTTATATATTTTACAGGGTTTCAAGCAGAAATATGGAAGTTCAAGAGGATCAAAGTGCAGAGGCTAAACAAAGCAAGGAAGGCAAGTGTAATTATAAGTCAACAAAGTCAAACAAGGGTGGCTGTCAAGCATGAAATCTAAAGAATCTCCACCATTTGGACGGTGCTCCAACCATCTTTCCATTGGTCCAATTAAGCTACAAAATCCTCCCATTGCTCAGCTTGGGTGTCTACCGCCTTGACTCACCTCTCCAGTGCCTATAAATACCTGAGTTCAACCATTTTTCAGGAGACACACCAGAGTTCAGTTTAGTTCAAGGGAGGAGAGAAAGAAAGGAAAAAAAAAGAGAAAGAAAGACTTCAGGAAAAGTTTCAAAAGAGAAAGAGAGACTTCAGGAAAAGTTTCAGTCAAAAATTAAGCGAAGCCCTACCCTAATCACTTCTCAGCCAGAATTTTCTCTATTTCTACATTTATGTTTATCCTTTCTACTTGGAGGGTTGAACCTCTCTCACTTTTGTGCCCTAGCTAGTAATAAAAGTGGCAGTGTTTCCATCAATATACCATTACTCCTATATCTCTACTTCACTAGAATCACAAAACATAAGCATCACCATTAGTAACGTGGCTACACACATATATGACTTCATTGTGCCTTCATTTGCCTCAACACGTCAAATTATATTAGAAAGTTCTTCAATCTTCAACTTCAATGTCATTACATCTTTTTCAATTCATCGTACATCTACCCTTTCATTTGTAATTTTCGAATAAGACAGAGTAGTAGGAGTCATCCACTTAAAAAATTGACATCCCTCGTTCAAACATTTGTAGTATAGCTTCTGAGGATTTTTTGCAGATTCAAAAACTTTGATAGTCGTTTTTTTCTTAAAATTGGTGCATTTCATATTGTGATATCTTAACTCACTGTTGTTTGTTGCCGTATTTGAAGAAGCTATTCTTCAACACTACAAACATGAAAGGATAATTGTAATTAAAACTCAACATTATAAGTTGCAACTCATTCATTCATGTTGTTGGTATAACATAATGTAGCTAAAATACACCCATGATTCTTAAATTAAACCCATTACAACCATGATTCTTAAATTTAAACAAATGTGGGCATGTGTATTTGAGGCTTAAGAATCGTTGCTTGCAGAGTATAATTTGCATAATAATATGTGGATGAAATCCACTTGGGCATTGTGTGAGAAATGTGGGCATGTGTATATGAAGAGGACTTTCACTATAGGAACGAGAAGCACCCAACTTAGTGAGAGCTTGAATGCAACCTTAATGCCAGACCATGACATTGTTTAGTTCTTTGAACATTTTGAAAGATAAGTAGTATAGGGAGTCAGACTCAGAATATCAAGCTAGACAAAAATTACCTAGAGTGAAGTTAAAAAGAGCTTCAATGTTAGTGCAAGCAGGGCAAAGTGTACACTACTACTATATTTAAGCTATTTCTAGATTAATATGATATCTTTTAGTGTGCTATTACAACACCAGGTGATGTGCTGGATGTGTGACATCAATTTGTAATTCAATTATTTGATAAACATAAAGAGTATTTGGTATTATTTAAGGCTAATGAGAAAATAGTCAATTGTAGTTGTCGGAAGTTTGAAATGAAGGGCATATTATGTGGTCATGCACTTACAATCTTGGACATTATGAATATTAAGCAAATTCTTGAGCAATACATATTTAAGAAATGGAGACGAGTTGCAAGACAGAGTTGTACTTAGGCCCCCAGTACCATGTTAAATGAGGAGGATCCCAAGTTAATGATGGTGTCACATTACAGACAACTTTGTCCTAGAATGGTATAATTAGCTACTCGTTGCTCTGGTCTTCAACCAACATATCATTTGGTGTCACGTGGCGTTAAGGAATTGTTCAAACAAGTGGATATTATGTATGCATCAATTGGTGATGTTGGCGATGATTCAATCCATGAAGAAGGAATATAAAATGTTGATCCAAACCTTCTCCAAGTTAAAGGTTTAAAAAGAAAAGAGGAAGGTTACAAGGGTGGGGTTGGGGTCGACTAAAATCTTCGCATGAAAAAACACCAAAGAGAAAAAAGGTAGCTTCACAACCATCACATATGTCTAAGGTATCGTATAAATATAATTGTAGGTATTTTTATTCACTTCATATTTTTATAAACATAAATGTACTTATCACACTATTTTGTATTCATAGTATATGACTTCAGTCACCCGTGTACATCGACATATAGTCATTCAAATATATTGTCTTCTCAAGCTTCAAATAGTTTGCAAAGTATTATGATATGTTACCTTATTACTAATTTTGTTGTTTCACATATGTATGAAGTTTCGTTGTCTGACCCTTCTCATTAATGTAGGGTACTCCAAGTGATTCAACACATGTGCATTCTTTAAAATGATGTTAAATCATTTTTCATGAATGACTTCTTCGGTGATGATTTGCAACATGTATAATGAGTAGCAATTATAAGAATGCTTGATGGATACTAGTTGCTTGTTGGATTGAGAGATACTAGATGCTTATGGGATAGCAGTTGGAATGATATTTTGTTGAAAACCATGTATTTTGTATTTTTAATGAACATAATCATGATGCGTGATTGTGATTATGTGCCTTTTTTTACATGAACATGATCGTTTTTAATGAATATGATCATTTTTTAGGAACAGGAACATGATTTTTTTTTCAAGTCCCAACACTATACAAAACCTATAAGTTCATTCAAATTAAACCCATAAGTTCATTCATAACACAAGTTCCATCAATATACCATTACTCCTATATCTCTACTTTACTAGAATCACAAAACATAAGCATCACCATTAGTAACGTGGCTACACACATATATGACTTCATTGTGCCTTCATTTGCCTCAACACGTCAAATTATATTAGAAAGTTCTTCAATCTTCAACTTCAATGTCATTGTCATTACATCTTTTTCAATTCATCGTACATCTACCCTTTCATTTGTAATTTCCGAATAAGACAAAGTAGTAGGAGTCATCCACTTAAAAAATTGACATCCCTCGTTCAAACATTTGTAGTATAGCTTCTGAGGATTTTTTGCAGATTCAAAAACTTTGATAGTCGTTTTTTTCTTAAAATTGGTGCATTTCATATTGTGATATCTTAACTCACTGTTGTTTGTTGCCGTATTTGAAGAAGCTATTCTTCAACACTACAAACATGAAAGGATAATGGTAATTAAAACTCAACATTATAAGTTGCAACCCATTCATTCATGTTGTTGGTATAACATAATGCAGCTAAAATACACCCATGATTCTTAAATTAAACCCATTACAACCATGATTCTTAAATTTAAACAAATCTCTTGGACAATGGTACATCTTCCAAAGGTAGTTCAAGACTTAGAATTACCTGGAACTAATGCTAAAAATAACAAATCTTCCTAAGATACAAATAACCTCATGAGTAGTTTTAGAAGCATACACCATAACTGCCTTCTTTAACCTCTTTCATTTCCCAAGGAATATTTATTTCCAATGTTTCACAAGATATGATTTTGGCTCAATCAATCAAAAAAAGTGAATACACTTCAAGTTGTGGATGTCATGGGATTATTTGACAATTACCCAAACTACGGATGTCAAACCAGAGAAACTATACTCGGCTTAAGTAGCAAATCAAAGGTTTTGGGTTACTGGCACTTTAACTGAATTCATATTTGCCAATTTTTCCTAACACGAACACATCCAAGTTATCTAGGGCAAGAAATGGAAATCAGACAAAACCTTTTGTCATAACAATGTAGTATAGTAAATTACAAGTAAATACTTCTATAATTTCACTAAACCATTTAGTTACGCATGAGAAAAAGTGAACACAAAATTACCATCAAACTTATTATTCTACGCAACAACAATCAGTGATCCCTCAAGCTGCATCAAAGTAATCAAAAATCAAGCATGAAAAAACCTAACAACAAATTCAGAGAAAACTGAGAATAAGCCATTAATTCATCAAGGTGGGAATTTAACCCAGAAAAATAAACCAAAACATAAAAAAATTAAACCCATCAAGGCGGAAATTTAAACAAAAAAAAATAAAAATAAAAAATAAACAAACCCACCAACCAATCAACGATTGACGAAGATCTTCAACACATCAACAACTTTCCATGGCATATGACAAAGAAGACTGTAGGCGAAGAAGAATGGTGAAGGAGGAGGGATTTGGGGTGATTTTGAAGAAAAAGGGATTGAAGATTTGGGTGAAGAAGGGTCTTTGGTTAGGGGGAGCCGACGTAAAGAGGGCTTAGGGATTTGGGGCAATAGTGTAGAGAAGAAGCTGAGTTTGGTTTTGATATACAAGAAGTAAACGGCGTAGTTTTTAGTCTAATTTTTTTTTTAAAAAAAATGAAAAAATGCACCGTAGAGGAGTGATAATGTGACGTGACATTGCATTTACTTTACTTCTTTGATGAACCAGTCGAATTTTACCCCCGAGTCCCATGTCACAAGTCACAAGCGCTATCAGCCAGAGGAGCCAAATTTCTGTAACCGCAATATCCCGTTTGTTCTCTACCTTTCGTAGTGCCAAACACCTGAGCACTAACACAAACTTCTCTTACAAAATTTCTCTCTCCCCTCTCTCTCACTCGAGTCTTCATGGCTAGCATATCTAGGCCTACCCGAACCACCGTGGCCCGATCTGGCGGGAAAATAGTGAGAAGACGACGCACTGCAGCCGCGAAAACCCCCTACGACCGCGCACCACCGCCCCCACCTCCCAAGGGCCCCAATTGGCTCACCGGACTCGTATTGCCGGCTACAAAAATGATTGCCAGTGGTGCCGGGAGGCTTCTCTCCTCCGTTTTCACTGCTGATACTTCCTCCTCCTCTTCTTCGTCTTCGGAGGACGACTCCGCTTCTGGTATGCCCATCTTTTCATATTATGTATTAATTTCCCGTTTACTCATATCCTTTAAAGCTTCCTGCTCTGTCTCTCTCGTTACATATATGTTATATATTTCAATTTTTCCTTAATTTCGGTTAAGTTACTGCCATCTATCCACAACTATTGTATTGGATTACACTAAAATTCAGTTGGACCCACAAAATCACGCGAGTGGGACCAGTAAATTTTATGGAGGAAGTGATTCAACGTACCGACATTGACAAAATTTGAACTTGAGAGACGTTCAAGTGCACATATATGTGTGTGTGTGTGTGCATACACTTGAATATTTTGATCACATTCATTATCCACCGATCAGTTTATTGGTTTGTAGTAAGTTTTTATAGCCTTGCTGATACTTAGTGGACCAGTTTATTGGTGAACTGGTGAGTAAACTGATCATAATATTGGTGCCAGCTTCGTTGATGGGAAATTCCTTAATAGAGAAATTGAAATTCTAGAGGCCTGAAAAACGAGGAATTTGATAATGCTTTAGCTTTTGTCAGGCTTGTTGCTTTAGCTTTTGTCAGGATTGTTGCAGACTATAATTGTCTTCTAATTAGAGTTTGTCCTCCATCGATGTAGAAGAACATATGAGACTAACGAATAAGTAGGAATGGAATTAAAGATTGAATAGGAACAATTCTTTGTGGATTTTGAAGGGAGCTCTGTTAAGGTTATTTGTATTATTGTGTGGACTAGTTCTGGTCCTTTCTCCTGCTTGGATTGTGACTTTGTGCTGCGGTTGAAAGGATTATTGATATTGATAAGATTGAGAAGAGAGGAGGTTTGAATGACGATTTAAGAAAAGAGAGATGAGATCTTACGAATAAGTTTGAGGAAGTTGTCTTTAGGGAGGAAATTAGCTGGAGGCAAATAACTAGGGTGAAATGGGTGAAGGAAGGGGATACTACTTCAAAGTTTTTTCCTAGAGTAGCGAATGGAAATAGAACGAAGAAAATTAATAATATAAACAAGCAATGGACCAGTCCCTAAAGACACTCCTTGATTACTAAGACCCTCATTTACAGTAGCAAAATAGTTGCACCCATATTCCATAAGAAACCCAGATGTCTTTTACACATAATCTGAAAATACCCCCACTGATAAGGAAGGTTTAAATCCAAGCACAATGCAGTTCTCAATCTCATGGTCTCCAATAATATGTGCATACAAAATTCGACTACCCGTCCATACATACAGTAACAATAATCCACAATTGGTTCCGTTAAATACCATATTGCATAACTACCACCAATACTTAATTTTTCTAGCAGACCATAGCCTATAAATAATATAGATGCTGCAACAAAATCTTAGCACCATTAAAGAAATGCAAAATGGGATTCAAGTTTAGCATTAGTGAATTACATCATCAATACCTATCAAGATATGCGCATAACATGATACATCCAATGCCAACATGGCCAAACAAAACAACCCAAACCCATGTTATATAATTCTAAAAGGATCATAACAATTAGAGCTGCGTTGCTCAACAAAAACAAATTGTAACCAAATTCTCTTTCAAAAAGCTCAACTACTAGATTCCTTATTCCTTCACCCCTGGAGGCTAAACTGAAGACATACAATTGAAAAGATTGAAACTAAGGTATGAGGGAAAATCACACATCGTGAGTGAGAGAGAGAGAAAGGGGGGGAGAGAGAGACACAGCAGGACATACAACCATTGAGCTTTATGTATGAAATGAAATATAATGGTGTAGGCCACAAAATATAATGAAAGAAGGACTATAGAAGTTATATACTTAGAGGGCCAACCTTCAAAACTCATAAACAATTTCTCCGATTGAAGGATGGTCACCTTGAACTAGCCAAATTGTCAACAAACTTCTTTTGATTCAAAGCTAGGCCTGAAGAAAGAGATGTTTCTCTCCATCATTCAAGTCAAGAAAAGCATCACAAAAAGTAGAAAGCATGATTCAGGCACCAAAACCCACCTTGTGAGTTGAAATATTAATAACTATAATATTAGGGTTACAGAAGGAGGAGGGAAAGAGACAACAAAAGAGAAATCAAGAATAAACTATGCGTGTCTATACTTTCTTATTTATAGTGGGGGAGTAGTTAGGGTAATTATAATATTACCCTACAATGCTAATTACAACTAATAACTAAAATAAGAACTCTAATAATTCTCTCAAGTTGGAGCATAAAGATCAGAGATATCTAGCTTAGAACATAAACTATGAAGGCACCTCGAGCCAATCGCTTGGTAAAAATATCACCCAGTTGATTACAAGACTTGATATATGGAGATACCAAATGAAATTCCAATCCACCTCAATATTTTTAGTACGCTCATGAAATACTGGATTACTTGCAATGAAAATTACTGCCCAATTGTTATAATGCATTTGCATAGGAGAAGGGACATGCATATCTCGATATTCAGCCTTCACACTAGATCATGCAATTGCGTTCTGTTTCTTATTAAGTTAGGTAACAAGGTTACCCCTAACAAACGTACAGTATCTAGAAGTAGATCATCTATCACTATGACTACCGGTCTAGTCAGCAATAAAGAAACCGATAACAGTTATGGAGGATGGTGGGTGATATAATAATTCGTTCCCTAGAGCCCTTTCAGATACCGAAGAATACTATAAACAACCTCCCCCAATGAGGCTTCCGGGGGACATGCATGAATTGTCTAACTACACCAACTATATATGTAATATCAAAACGTGTAATTATGAGATTAGTCATCTTACCAACCAATCTCTAATATCGTCTTATGTTATTAAAAACTCTCTAGCATTAACTTAATTGTAGAGTCTTTAGGATTATTAACCGGATTGCACCAGGAGTACTAGTTTGAACTAGTAAATCCAATACATACTTCCATTGTCACAAATTGATACATTCATTTGACCGAACAACTTTAATCCCTAACAAGCATTGAAGTAGTCTTAAATTTTTGGTATGAAACTAGTTCTTCAAATAGAGCTTGAAGTGGGCTATACCATCTGAATCATTACCACTAATGATAATATCATCAACACATATAATAACGATAGTAACATCTACAGAGGACCTACAATTCAAAACTAAATTATTTGAAGTGAAACGTTGAAAGCCAAACTGAAGTACAATTGTATTGAATTTATCAAACCAAATACGTGGTGACTGTTTTAGGCCATACAATGCTTTTTTCAAACGACACACTAATTGTTCCCTTATAAGAGCAACATAACCTAGAGGTTGAGCCATACATACCTCCTCCTGTAGATCTCTGTCTAAAAAAATATTCTTTATTTCAAGTTGATGCTGGGCTAATAAAAATTAACTGAAATAGAAATAAGAGTTCTAACAGAGTTAAGACGAGCAATTGGAGAGAAATTCTCACTATAATCCACACCATATGTCTTCAAAGTATCGAGTTATATCTGACTCAGCACTTTTCGAGACGATACCGTTACACAATATGTATAAATCCTGAATCTCGCACGCCTCGGCCTTGACGTCCGAGTTGTCTCTAAGTCAATTTTAAGTCGTCGAGTTATCGTCACCGAATCGGCTAATATGACTTTGTGACGTTGCGGTATAACTTGAATCTCTCATCATGTTTAACATTTTCTTTTATGTTGTATCGCCCGATAAAGTATTGCGACGTCACGACCGATGTGTCTTAAAGCCTTTCGAGTCAATGGCCGACATTGCGCCCTTGAACCATACCAATTGTGCTTTTAAATGCTCAATCAATTGTGCCTTCAGCAATAAATGGATCAAATTTTGATCTGAATTAAATTTGAATTTGAAGCAGATTAGTTGAATATGGATGGACATTTTTATCAATAATCTAAATTTGATTCCAAATTTGTTATATATACGGATTTGAATTAGATATAACAATATCTGGTCTGATTATAATCCGATTCAAATAGCATTTTTTACTTATATAAATAATGTATATATAAATAATGTATGACAAAATTAAATGATTATTTGATAAAATTGAATTGAGAATTAGATGTAATTTGTTTAAATACAACTTATCTAAGCTAGTTGGGTCGGATTGGGTTTTCTATCCGGTTCTTAATTGATTCATATATGGACCATGATGAAGAAATTCGTTGGATTATCTGATCGGAGCATTTTAATTGGATTCGGATTTGGATCAGTTGAAATTCGATTCATTTATAGGCGCCTATATATTACCCATAATATTACAAAATCCTAGTACGAAGTTAAAGTTCTTCTAAAGTAAAGAAGCTCTAGTCGCTGTGGGTGGGTGGCCGGCTTTCTAAGTATTTTGGTCTTCCTTGGGTAACATGATGTCCTTGGCCTTCAGGGATTTTGTCATTGAGAAAGTTGGAAAAGATTGGATGGATGCAAGAAAACTCCATTTCTAAAGGGGACATTTAACATTAGTTCAGTTTGTTTCTGCAGAACTGGTGGAGATTTTGCTGATTTTGTTGATAGATATGACAGGATTAAGGGGTAATCCAAAGTTGGTGCTGTTTTATGCCAGAAAATATAGTGTAAACTTATAAGAAAAATGAACTATAGCTTCACGTCCACTAGCGTGCATCATGGAAGAAAAATGAAGGAAAAAAATTGAGTTATTCTATGCTCAGGTTCACTGAATGGTATGTTGTTCATATGGATCCAACAAATACTGATGGGGAACAATTTGATGCATAAATTTGTCGGAAACCTCATGTCAGGGCCACACTTAAAATGAAAGGTTGTAAGCCGTTCTCAATCTATTCTATCAGATAAGACTGATCGAAGGCCTTACTGTCCATTGGACCCGACGATACAGGTCATTGGCACCTCTAGTTAAGTTGTCTCAGTGCGTTTTGGCTCATCTAAAGTAAAATGTCATAGTGTAAAGAAGAAATTATGCTCCTAATAAGCTTGGAAAGGGAGAAGAAAGATAGAAGCAGACCTTCATTTGGGCAAATCCAGCAAGACAAGGGTGCTCCCCTTTCGTCAGTCTGGTCTACTTACTTATCAGGATGGTTCAAATTGCTTCCACTATTGCTGTTTATATTAACTGAAAATAAACCCGGAATCTAGCTTGATATTGAAATTGTAAAACTGAGATATGAATGAGGAAGTGGTAAATTCATTTCAACCTAGTTAGGCATATGCATTTGTTTCAATAGCTAGCCATTGCATGCACATCAAATGTGCTGCTACGACAACCAGAATGTGATGCTGGTTTCTACATCCAAGGCTTTTATTTTTTATTTTGGTTAACCAATTGACACCTTTTTTTTTTTTTTTTTCAATTGACACCTGAATTCTTATCTCTACTTTGCAGATGATAGTGTTGATGGTGGCAATGATTATGACATTCCTTCTCAAAGGATTGAAATCTTAAATAAGGTACGTGCCTAATTTTTATGTGTAATACTCTTGGGGTGTGTTTAGATGTCCGGTTGGATAGGATAGGTTTGGAATTTTTTATCCTTTCCTATCCAAC